CACATACGCGGGTTAAAGGGGAAACCTTACAGGTTCTCTTATTAGACAAATATTTACCTATTTACCTTTAAGGCCGGGAATTTAGCTCTGTGGTTCCTCCGCCTTCCTTGCAAGTGCAAGGAACTGAGTTCGATCCCTAGTACAAAAAAAGAAAGACCTATTTACCTTTAATTTTTTTTATTTATTTGATTTTTTGAGATAGGGTCGCTCTTTGTAGTGCAGGCCAGCCTTGAACTCACTGTGTGGCCCAGGCTGTCCTCGAACTCGCAGCGATCCTCCTGCCCAGCCTCCCGAGTGCTGGGATAAAAGTCCTGCGCCATCATGACCGGCTCCTATTTACCTTTTAGAAACAGTCTCGCTATGTTGGTTACTCAGGCTTATCTCCAGCTCCTGGGCTCCAGGAAAGGAGCCACAGGCGCGCACCGCCGCAGGAGCGCACCGCCTCGTCGGGCCTGGCTGCTCCGTTCCGGGAACCCAGCCGCTGTGTGCGCGGATGGCTTAACTTCCGCGGGGCCGTCTGGGGATAAACAATGTCTAAGGTCCTGGGAGCGACTCGGTCCTGGGCTGCGCCGCCGCCCCCATCCCGCCCACGGTGCCCTCTCCCCCAGTTCCGGATCTGGCCATATGGGACGGACTTGGCGGGGCGCCGGAATCACACCGCTGCCCGACCCCTAAGGTCTGCCTGGCCGCTCTTCCCGGCTGAGCTGCCTCACGGAGGACTGAAGTGGAGACATCAGGGTGAGGCCTGAGGAATGACCAAAGGCTGGTCGCGTATAAGCTGCCAATGTTGGCGCCTCGCATGAAATAATGTTTCTGCCTCTTTTCTTTCTTTCTTTTTTCTTTTTTGGGGACAGGGTCTCACCATGTAGTTCAGGGTGAACTCGCATCAATCCTCCTGCCTCAGCCTCCTGATTGTGCGATGTGGGGCGTACACCATCCTTTTTTTCAAAAACTATGTGCCTGGCCACTTCTCTCTCATTTATAAGTTGTTGTTTTCTCATTTATTTGTTGTTGCTTTGGTATCCTTCCTTCATCTTCTGAAAGATAAAGAGTCCTAAAGACTAGAAATGTTAAGATGTGCTATGTTCTGACAGCCATGGTGGCGGATGCCTGTAATCCCTGCACTGGGGAGGCTGAGGCAGGAGGATCTCTTCGAGTCCAAGGCTAGCCTGGGCTACATGAGTTCAGGACCAGCCTTAACTATCAAGTGAGACCCTGTCTCAAAAACAAATAAACAAACAAACAAAAGTCGGGCATAGTGGCACGTGCTTGTAATCCCAGCACTCGGGAGGCTGATGAGGCAGGAGGATCGCTGTGACTTTGAGACCAGCCTGGTCAACATAATGAGTTCCAGGTCAGTCTCAACTACAGAGTGAGACTCTGTCTCAACCCCCCCCCAAAAAAAAACCCACAAAACTGTTATGTACACTCCCCATGATGTTCATTAATGTACTGCAATCTTCATATACTGCGGATATAAACTGTACTAATAGAAGTACATTTTTTTTAAAAAAACCAAGAATAGGTCCGGGGATGTAGCTCAGTGGCACTATGTCTGCCTTGCAAGCTCAAGGTCCTGAGTTCAATTTCCAGTACTGGGGGAAAAAAAGACCAGGAATAAATATATGTTACCAAAATAAAGCCACATCCTGGGTTCAAATACCAGGGCGCCTTTACCTGTTTCTGAGAACTGGCTAGGAAGGCAGGAGGTGATCAGAATCAGGATTTTTTTTTTTTTTTTCTCCTCGTGGTTCTGGGTACTGAACCCAGGGCCTTTGCAAGGAATCACATCCTCTGACCTCTTTTATTTTGAGTCAGGGCCTCCGTGATCCACCCTGGGTCGAATTTGAGACCCTCCCTCGGCCTTCCAGAGTGCTGGGATTATGGGCATGGGCCTCCACACTTGGCCCAGGACAGATACTTGATTCTAAAACTTCTTTCTATTCCACAGTTATTTTTCTTCCTCTCCCTCAGGTTGTTCTGGCTATCCTAAATACCACCTCTTCCACCAGTGTTACTGCATTATGTTCTAGTTTCCCCAGCCTGATCTGGAAGTTACACTAGTACTTTAACTAGTTCAGAGTACTCTGTGCTAGGCAGGGTACACAGGTAAGCAATTGCATATTGATTTCTTAAACAGCTACTAAAAACCTTGACTGATCTGGTCATAGGAACCCTCTTATTGTATCCATTTGAGGTTATTTCTGGAAATTTCTCTCATCTCTCTCTCTTATGAGAGGTGTTTGACAGGTCCTTTCCTGTCTCCCACTTTTCCACCTCCTACCCTCCACCCTCATCCCAAAGTAGGAGTAGTGGCTGCTGGTGTAGAGAATCACTGTGTTGTGTGCAGGTGACAGTCACAAATGCTGCTGTGTTTTTAGGAAAAGATCTCATTCAGATGCAGATTATATCGTGCAAAGTCCACAGCACCACGTGTGTTCAGCTTCCATGAGTGTCAAATGTGTCTGTTGCATCTTAAGATTTTAAAAATTCATTTATTTATTTGAGACAGGGTCCCGCTGTGTAGGTCAGAATGACCTTGAACTCACCATGTAGTTGAGGCTGGCCTGGAGCTCACTCCTGCCTCAGCCTCCCAGTGCCGGGATATGCCACCACACCCGGCTTAGATTTCCCTTCCACTTCCAAACTTCAAAGGCAATGCCTACCTAACACTGTATTTTCTTCCAAGCTACTATTTAGCGAAAGGTTGGATGGACTTTGAGGTACCCCTCAGCTCACAAAGTGGCTTTGTGTACTGTTGATGCAGTTATTATTTTTTACTATCTTTTGTTGTTGAAATTTTCACTAACAGGCCGAGCATACAGCTTGGTGGTACAGCGCTTGCCTGGCATGGGTGAGGCCCTGGCCTGGGTTCTCTCTCCAGCACCGAATAAAAAAATCACCAAGATATAATGGTTACATTTGTTTTTCTTTTTTTAAATTTAGCCATCTTAAGTGTGCAATTTAATGGTATTTAACATCTCCACAGCGTTATGTAACATTATGTCTATCTAGGGGAGTTGGGGATTGAACCCAGGCCCGCACTCATGCTGAGCACATGCTGTACCACTAGGCTACAGCCCCAGCCCTAGGACCAACATATTTTCATCACTCCCAGATACAGCTGATTCTTCTGGGGGAAGGGAGAGGTGGGGTCTCCACTATATCACCTAGGATGACTTCAAGACTTCCGGCTCCCCCTTCCTCAGCCTCATGAGTATCTGAGATTACAGTAGGCACTTCCTACGGCATCCAGCTCTACCACCCCCACTTGGCTTTTTGAGACAAGGTTTTAGTACGCAGCTCAGGCTGGCTGTGAACTCACTACGAAGCCCAGGTTGGCCTCGAACTTGCAGAAATCTTCCTGCCTCAACATCGGAGTGCCGGGATTATAGGCGTGAGCCACCACCCCAGCTATAACTGAGTTTTAAAGAAGCCCACGATCCAAACCTTGAAAATTGTATAGCAGGTGTTTTCTAACATGTTGGTGGAAGTGATTGAGTCTGGAACGTTTACAACTAGGACATGAAGCATCCCAAAGGGAAACAAGTGCAGGAGAGCAAAGTCTGCTCCTAGGTCTTCCTGATTCCTTTTTTTTTTTGGTAGCAGGGATTGAACTCAGGGCCTTGTGCTTACTGAGCTAAAGCTCCAGTCCCGATTCCCTTTTGTAAATTAACAAATACCAGATTATGTAGTGACGGCTGGCCTTCAGATTACTGTCTAGACTTCAAACTCTCAGTCCTCCGGTCGGAGCCACCCAGCACTGAGATCAAAGGCATGAACTTCCACTCCTGGCACAAATCCTAAACTCTTCTCATCATTCTTACTGTGCATCTGGCACAGCTGTTTAGGCTTACACAAAGTAAAGGCAAAGGGGCACCCCACCCCAGCACTTCGATGCACCCAGCCCCGGCCCCATCTGAGGCCTCCTCCTCCCTCTTCGAGGACTGGAAGGCGTCTTCTCACCAGCTGAGGGCCACACATCCGGGATCAGCGCTACTGCTGAAATCCAGCTCCCGGCAGAGTCCGCTTCTAGGTGTCCCAGCCGCTGCCGGCACCGCTTCAAGACAGCGACCTCAAACCCCTCTGGGTCCAGAAGTCAGGGCCCCCTCTGCCTGTCCCTTCCAAGGACCCTTGTGTCATTTAGGGCCCACCCTGAGAAACCAGGAGAACCCGACCTTCCCAAGGTCCTTAACCCAGCCACACCTGCAGAGTCCCGTCTTCCACTTATCCTGCCAAAATTCTTCCAGTCTGTACTGATTAAACACCCAGCTGCTCTGCCCACACCGTACCTTTCGGTGATAACGACCGCCGCAGCTCAGTCAGCTGAGCACAGACCCTGTGTGCAGTCCTTAATGCACTGTGTCATCTGCCCCTGCCCAGAGGCCAGCACTGTGCCCGTCCCCCTTGCACAGCTAAGGGGAAGTGAAGTCACTCGCCCGCGGCCCCCAGATGTGCAGCCGGGATTCCTGCCTCACGTCTGGCTGAAGACTCATCAAGGGCTGCTCCGTGAGGCCGTTTACAAAGTTCGGGGCCCTTTGAACTTCCAAGCGAGTCTCTTACCAGATCCCACAGACTGCAGACATAACACAGGAAGGGCTGTTCTAGAAATCTGAAAGTCCAATCCCAACAGCCCGGGAAATACAGTCCTTTGGGGCTGCGTTTGTGACCTCTGCCAAGAGGCACCAACCGGGAGGCAGGAGGGGAGGCCCGGCTCCGCCTGGCCCTTAGACAGTGCATGTCGCTGCCTCTTTACTGTTCATCCCGCTCCGAACTGTTGGGACTTTGGGTATGGGTCCCGCTCTTGCTGGATTTATGGACTGAACTCCTTGGCAGTTGCTCCTTTACCCGCAAAGCGGCAGTGGCACAGCAGCTCAAAGCTGCTTGTGTTTTACCTTTTTTTTTTTTCCTAATTTCAGTACCACAGCTAAAGGAACTGTGCTCACTTCTGTAAGGAAACTGCCGTGGAAGACGCTGAGGGCCCGCTTCTTCTGTGTGGGGTTTCCAGAGCGGAAGGTGGATCGCCTTTGGAGAACAGGTCTATCAGGAGGAATAGAATTTAAGGAGCAAATGGGCCAGCTCCTCTGGGGGTGTGCAGGGGAGGGAGCAGCCCAGGCGCTCCCACTCCAGATCCAAAGATGCAAAGAGCACAGGGTTCCCAGAAGGAAGCCGGGGTGGGGAGGTGTTTACTGGGTGGTGCCTGGCACAGGAGAGAGCAAATGGCAGGAGGGCACGCTGGAGGGAGGCAGTGCTGGCCACAGGGCACAGGGGTGCTGGGCAGGCCACACCAAGAACCAGAAGTCATTTCTCAAGGTTGTGGAGCACCCCTGCAAGATCCCATGCAGAAAAGCGACATTTGGGCGAGCCACAGAAACATTTCCGTCTGTGGCCACAGAGGGCCTGGACTCCTGGGAATAAGGAAGGACTGGGTTCCGTTCCTTTCTTTTCCATTTTTCTCTTTTCCCTCCCTTCTCTCCTCTCCCTTCCTCATCCTCCTTCGCCCCACACCTGGTAACCACCATTCTATTATGTTTTGTTTTTTTAAGTTCATCCCTTTTTGTTGTTGTTTCGGCAGGAGAGTGGGGACACAGCATTTGTTTTTGTGCCTTGGTGTAGTGTCCTCTGGGCTCTGGCATGTCACAATGACAGAATGTGCTTTTTGAGGCTGCATAGTATTCCACAGTGTGTATACACATTTTCTTTACCCATTTGTCTATTGATGGATACGAAAGCTAATTTCATGCCTTGGTTATTTTGGATAAAGCTTCAATCAACATGGGAGTGCAGATGTCACCTTGACATACTGATTTCATTTCTTTCGGGTGGATTCTCAGAAGTAGGCTTGCTGGATTGTATGATAGTTCTATTTTTAATTTTTTTCTTTTTTTGGTACTGAGGATTGAACTCGGGGCCTGTGCTTGTGAGGCAGGTGATGGAACCACTGAGCTACATCTCCAGCCCTCTATTTCTAATTTTGAGAAACTTCTATACTGTTTTCCACAATGGCTGTCTAATTTACACTATTACCAGGAATGTGCAAAGAGTCCTTTTCTTTATATTCTTGTCAACACTTGTTATCTTTGTTTTTGTTGTTGTTTTTGAAACAGGATCTCACTATGTGGTTCAGGCTGGTCTTGAACTCATTATGGAACCCAGGCTGGCCTCAAACTCATGACAATTCTCCGGTCTCAGCTTCCTGTGCTGGGATTACAGGCATGTACCAAGATGCTTGACTACTTACAGTGGTTTTAATTTGCATTTGACTACTAGTGAGGTTGAGCCTTTTTCCATATTCCTTTTTTTTTTCTATATTCCTGTTGAACATTTGTGTGTCTCCTTGTGAGCAATGTGTTTAATTCTTCACTGGTTTTTTTTTTTTTTTTTTTTTTTTTTTTTTTTTATCAAGGGTTTTCTTTTTTTTTGTG